TCAACAGCATCAGCTGGCCAAATCCGGCAGCAACAGCAAACCGACGCACAATGGCCACCATCGGGCGAATAGCAGCGGCAGCATCTCCAAGATCCCCATCGCCACCAGCAAGCTGCTGAGCAGTCCCAGCTCCGAGACCACCACGGCCATCCACACACTGACCAGCAACAGCAACGGCCATGTCCACAAGCCCACCCAGATTGTGACGCCGACGCGACGAGCCTCGGACTCGGACAAGGAGAACACGTATACGGCCACGTTTGTGAAGAAGCCGGTGGCCACTATCCAACTAGGCAGCTCCAACGGCATCGAGGATGCCACAGTGGTGGCCACACTCACCCTGTTTCCCGACGCCCCCACAACGCCCAAGGTGATCCGCAAGACGCCGACGGGTGAATCGAATGGCTCGGCCACATCCGTCAAGGCTCTGGTGAAGAAGTTCCAGCTGGAGGACTCGACCGGCTCGGCGATGGCACGGCGCAGTGGGGGAGCAGTGACCAGCAGCAGTGGCTTGTATTCGCCGACGACGGCGTCGATCCGGATGAACAGCATTCGTCGGGCGTCGGAGCCGCTGACCACGGTCTTCAAGAAGCAGACGCCGCAGAATGGCTGCAGCAGCAATCCGAGTGCGAGTGCGAGTCCGAGTCCCGGCAGCAGTCCCACCGCCTCTGGCAGCACCGCCACCCTGCTGATCCACAGCCAGCGTTTGGCCAGCAGCACGGCGCCCGCCAGCCACAGTGCCGCTCCAGCATCAGCCACAGCCACAGCCACCTCCGCCGCCAGCAGCAGCAGCAGCTCAGGGAAGTCGGCGAGTGCCGCCCACCATCTGCACCACCATCACATGCACCACCACCACCACCATCACCACCATCATGTGGTGATTGCGGCAAAGAATGCCGCCGCCGTGGCCGCCACCAACAACCTGAGTCTGGATCAGGGTATCATCTGTTAGCTAAGGGCCAGTCGGGCCAGCCGCAATGCCAAAAGTTTCTTTCATCGCTTCCTGTGCTGCATGTAACCACCAGCTGCCATGGCTACCACAAGCACGACCACGCCCCCTCCCCCGACAACCGCCCACTGGCAGAGGGCGAAGAGGAGTGGCTGCGAATCATCTAGCTGCAGGATCACTAGGTGGCAAAGTGGCGATTTAAGGAGCTATGGCTATGGAAATGGATCAGCTTTGGGAAGCCGTTGGAGATGGAAAGGAAATGGAAACGGAAACAGAAACGGAGACGGAGACGGAAACCCGAACTGGAATTGGAATTGGAATTGGAATTGGTGCTGCAGCGGGAGATGGATGTGGTTATGGAAGCGGAAGTGGAGAGGGGATCATTCGCCAGATTGGCAAGACGACGAGGATGCATTGATTTTGATTTGATTTGAGCTTAGTTTAGTTAATGTTTTACGGCCTTAGCATCTAGGAGTCCAGCAGAATCACGGTTGCCACTTGAAAAACCTTATGGAGATAAAGGAATTTGAACATTTTCGTACCAAACTTTACATTTTCATAAGTTAAATAAAATAATGTTTTAATTTTTGTTAATTTGTCTTCACATAAATGTAGATTTAAACTATAATATCAGACTTGTTCGGTGGCAACCGTGTCTAGGTGACCCGCAGCATCCCCCCCACACACACACACACTCACAAACACACACACACACACACACACACACTAGAAAAACGAAAAACAACTTAGCTAAAGTCGCGAGAATTCAAATTGTAAGCGAAAAAATGAAGCAAAACGAAAGAGATGAAAGATAGAGGGATCGAACAGAGCGTGTTAGGAGTAGTAGAGTAAGCTGATTTCAACGGAATTTTTGGTAGACATATCATCCATGTTTGTTATGCGTTTGAAGGAAAACACAATAAAAAAGAAGGGACAGAGTTCATTGTTTCAACGAATATATAAATGTCAATTTTCGGCCCGTAAGGCAAGCAAGTAAGCCCTTTGGCCTAGCATAAATTATACACTTATATACATTATCTATATACATATGCATACACATATAGACCTTACATAGCATATATATGTACCAAAAATAGGGAGAAACGACAGTTGATAGCCCGCCATTGGTTATGTAGAGCGTTTGTTATTCAGCCAATCAGTGCATCAATCCGATGGTAATCAATCATATAGCGTACCGTGTTATTCGCCTAGAGGGAATGAGAATTTAGAGAATGTTACAAGCCAAGCAAAATTGTTAATCGTGTGTCTCGGTGTGTGTTCAATCGTTCAATCGTTCAAATCGTTGCATAAATGTTGCCTAGAATACATTACATTACTTAGAAGAAGCCACATGGATCATATAAGAAAGCATCTTGAGGAAGAGGACTAATTGCTTAACTCATGTAGGACCCATCTACCATCTATCCGATCCTAATCCCGATTCCGATCTAGATCCCAGCTCCCCAGTTCTCCTCGTTTTAAGTCGGTTTTTGTATATATTTCCAGCAAGCAGAATGCAAAATGCAGCCAGCAGCGCATATAATTAAATGTAATTCTTTTTTTTTTGATATTCATATCTTAAAGCTTGATATACGAGTTGTATTTATTAGGCAAATCGTTTGTGTGGTCGGCGATCGATGAAGGTCAGTTAATTGTTAAAGAAAAATGCTTAATTTATCGTAATCGATTACCCTTTTCTTTTATATTTAATACTTGCGTGTACTTCTCTTAATTACTATGATTTTTTTTAATACACCTAAACCACTTTTTTGTGTTTACTGTATATGTACATTAGTAGTTAAAGGCGGATGCGAAGAATTTTCGGCCTCCACAATATAATAAAAACTACGCCAGATGGAGCGAGAAATGTGTTTTAATTATTAGTAATTTCAATTGATTTTTTGTGTTTAGAGAATCTATTTCTATGAGAAGACAAACAAAGATGCAAATTCTATTATATATTATATTATATAGTAACTATTTTATAGATAACTAATTTAAAATATATTCAATAAAAACCACAAAAATTACTAAAATGTGTTTAAATACTCATACATTTTTTAACATGATATTTTTCAAAATTTTGACAAAAAAAACTGTGAATGCCACCCGATTGGAAATTTTGTAACTAGCTCAACGAGGTATGGCATTCCATTATTGGGCTATTACTTGCGTTGTTATGGTGAAAATACTGATATTTTTGGGCGAAAAATGGTTGAAGATCACATTTCTCGCTTTTCACATTTTTCATAAGGGTATAGCTCATGAGTTTTCTCGAAAATTTTACAAAAAAAGCTGTGAATGCCACTCGATTGGAAATTTTGTAACGATTTCAACGAGGTATGCCATTTTATTATTGGGCTATTACTTGCGTTGTTATGGTGAAAAAACTGATATTTTTGAGTGAAAAATGGTTGAAGATCACATTTCTCGCTTTTCACATTTTTCATTAGGGTATAGCTCATGAGTTTTCTCGAAAATTTTACAAAAAAAGCTGTGAATGCCACTGGATTGGAAATTTTGTAACGATTTCAACGAGGTATGCCATTCTAATATTGGGCTATTACTTGCGTTGCTATCGTGAAAAGACTGATATTTTTGGGCGAAAAATGGTTGAAGATCACATTTCTCGCTTTTCACATTTTTCATAAGGGTATAGCTCATGAGTTTTCTCGAAAATTTTACAAAAAAAGCTGTGAATGCCACTCGATTGGAAATTTTGTAACGATTTCAACGAGGTATGCCATTCTATTATTGGGCTATTACTTGTGTTGTTATGGTGAAAAAACTGATATTTTTGAGTGAAAAATGGTTGAAGATCACATTTCTCGCTTTTCACATTTTTCATAAGGGTATAGCTCATGAGTTTTCTCGAAAATTTTACAAAAAAAGGTGTGAATGCCACTCGATTTGAAATTTTGTAACGAGTTCAACGAGGTATGCCATTCTAATATTGGGCTATTACTTGCGCTGCTATCGTGAAAAGACTGATATTTTTGGGCGAAAAATGGTTGAAGATCACATTTCTCGCTTTTCACATTTTTCATAAGGGTAAAGCTCATGAGTTTTCTCAAAAATTTTACAAAAAAAGCTGTGAATGCCACTCGATTGGAAATTTTGTAACGATTTCAACGAGGTATGCCATTCTATTATTGGGCTATTACTTGCGTTGTTATGGTGAAAAAACTGATATTTTTAAGTGAAAAATGGTTGAAGATCACATTTCTCGCTTTTCACATTTTTCATAAGGGTATAGCTCATGAGTTTTCTCGAAAATTTTACAAAAAAAGCTGTGAATGCCACTCGATTGGAAATTTTGTAACGATTTCAACGAGGTATGCCATTCCATTATTGGGCTATTACTTGCGCTGCTATCGTGAAAAGACTGATATTTTTGGGCGAAAAATGGTTGAAGATCACATTTCTCGCTTTTTACATTTTTCATAAGGGTAAAGCTCATGAGTTTTCTCGAAAATTTTACAAAAAAAGCTGTGAATGCCACTCGATTGGAAATTTTGTAACGATTTCAACGAGGTATGCCATTCCATTATTGGGCTATTACTTGCGTTGCTATTGTGAAAAGACTGATATTTTTGGGCGAAAAATGGTTAAAAACACGTTTTTCGCATTTCACATTGCATTATTTGCAATGTTTTCTTTAAAATACTGATATTTAATAAGTGTTGCAGAGCTAACACACAAATTAACGTTCTTCACCACTTTCCGATTCATTCCAAAACGTAAATTGTTTTGCTAAAATTATTTGGCTTGCCAAAATGTGGCATAAAACACGGGTGGCATGTAGCTAAGACTAAAAGAAAGGCTACTATGTATGCATAAAATTTCTTTCTCGTTAATTACGCTAGGTTAAGTTCAGAAGGCACTTAACAGATTCCAGTGAATAAAATATTAAAAAAAAAAAAAAGAAAGCAGTTCAACAGCCGTTAACATTTAACAGCGGGGCCAAAAGTATGCAATACGTTCCCAACTAAATAATCCACAAATAAGCAGTAAAACAGTGGAAACACAATTGAACCGAAATTCAAGCAAATTTTTAGAAAAACATATAGACACACATCTTTATTCGAAATACATGACAATTGCTTGGTAAAAAAGAAAGTGAGACAAAAAAAATGTTGTATACATCAGTAAAAATAAAAGTAAGTGTAACTAGCGCCACAAAACGATTCACGGTACAACAAAGATTCCGCCGCTTGGCACCCACTTTCTGTACATCTACGCCTGGGCCATGGCCTCCTCCGTTCGCCCGATGGTTAGATGTGGGAAGAACAAATGCTTCGAGATTGCTGATTCCCCTTGAACACTCGCCGAGGGGCTGGGAGTTGCCGAGTGGGCGGTGGGTTTGGTTGGTTAACGCTTAAATGCCGCGGTAGGATCGGTGGGCCAAGAAGGCGCTGATGAAGTACAGCACCGCATTGACCAATCCCAAAACTCCGGCCACCATATAGGCATCGTGCTTCACGTCACGCAGCCGGATGAGCAGGAAGGTGGACGAGGCCAGGATCAGGATGGCGGCCACGCTGTGATAAATCAGCTCCTGCAAACAAAATGGGTGATATTTGTATATTGTGGCACCAAAAAGTATAGTTTTCTTATAACGGAAAGTAAGTAAAAGTAGAGAACAGTATTTGTAAATAAATAACTCTAAAAAAGACAAGACACTTAACATTGACGTTTCCAATTATCCCTAAATCTAATTTGGAATCTCGTAACATTCCTCAAACATCACAATATGAAAATACGTGTTTTAATAAGTAAAATGCTTTGTTAAAAAATAAGTTTCAAATTCAATTACCATCCTAAGTTTAAAAGATGTGTAATTTAACATTTCCTTACTATACGTTTTTTGACATGCTCTTTTAGAACACCTAAACTAAGGTATGTAACTCACTTAAAAATTCATTCTATGATATTTTGTCCAATTATTAATTATTAAACACTAATAATATTATTTATATATTATTATATTAATTGGTTTTTTTTTAGGGAAAACAAATGTTTATACACTTGCTTATGAACGAGACAGCATTAACTACATTAAGGACATTTTTGTAACTCGAATAATACTCACATAGATCGTCTTGGCAATAATGCCTCCCGTACTCAGCGACGTGAGACAGGCGAGGAGTAAGCAGAACGTTCCTATCATAAAGGTGACGGCCATAAGATACTGGAACAGATCCTGCTGGCCCCTGCTGTAATAGTTGCGGTAATCCTGATAGTTATATGCCAGAATTCCCACAATGGCGGCACCAATGATCTGAACATCACGCAATTTAGTTAGTTGGTTTTAACTTAATGGCAATCTTGAGAATTAACTCACCAGCTGGAAGAGCTTGAGAATTCCGGGGAAGGTCTTCAGATAGCCCGTGTTCAGGACGATGTAGGAGGTGTTGGTGGTGCTGGTGGTGGTGCGGGTAATGGTCACTGAGTGCGACATCTTGGCTTTGTTTCGGTGGTGCTTTTCGGGGTATTAAAGGTGGGGTCTGAAAATGACAAAACAGATATGGTTTAAAATAATAGTAAAGTAATAGAACAGAACGATTTTTATATCCGTTTTTTCTTTTTAAATTTATCCTTCCTTCTTTAAGTTAAAAAGTTAACAATGCTAATTATTTTTATTAAAACTTTAAGGCTACATAAAAGTTTAAAAATCAAATAAACATTTCATAATCAAAACATTTCATTATCTTTTTTGGAATGTTTTGAAAGTTAATAATTTCAACTTTTCATATATTTTAGCAAGTACTGAATTCATCGTGCGATCTATGTGGGTGACTCATGCCGAATATTTCTACATGTTTTCGTTTCATGACAGAGACCTCTCCTGATAATTAAAAGTAAACGAAAGAAGTGTGCAATAAATGTGAGTAATGTCTCCTTGTTTTTCCACAGATCTTCCAATATCGTTATTCATATGGCGTGTTTTTGTTCTTTTGCCCAGCTGTTACAGATCGAACGCCCTTGCCACGCCCATCGATCTGCACAGTATCCACACAATGTTTGTGTATTTTTGGCCATCTATTTGTTGCTGTTTTTGTTTTGGATTTTTGGTTTTTGTCTAATTTTAAAACAATTTTCAATGCCGGCCTCGCGAGCGTACGAAACTGGGCAGGCGAAAAAGCGCCAAAAGCGTTATTGAAGCATCAGCGGCAGTGGGAGAATCGGAAAAATCTATTTACTTGACCGACCCCCCCTCTCAACAAGTCTTCCCCTCCCCCCCTTTTTCGGGGATCGGCAAGCGAACAAAATAGATAGATCGCCCGTCTATATGTTCGCCTAGGAATGGAGACGGTCAGATGTATACACATATACACATATGTTATACCCGGTAACGTCATGAACTTAATGGTCCGCTGCCTGCTGTTCGTTTGAAAAGCTGAGGAAAAGCGATCCCGAAATTGGGGCACACACTTAGAGTGTACAGATGCTGTGGGTGGGTTTAATCGAGAATATTTGCAAATTCCAGAACAGCTCCGTTTCGCCGTTTGACTTGATTGATTCGTGGAATGTCAGATCTGGTAGGTTGAGCGTTAATAAAGACTTTATTCTGACTTCAATACGGGGTCCAATTTGTTTACAATTAAATCCAAAACATAGTAATCAAGCAAATTAAGCCAAGCTAAACAAATAGCTGGAACAAATTAAACCAAAGGAGTTTGAGGTTTACAAAAACAAAACACCTTTTATAAATTAATGGCCATTTTATTTTAATATGTTCTTTAACATTTTTACTAAATGTATTATGCCATAATTATTTATAATAAATAAATGGACCAACTTCAATAACAATAAAGCATAAACTGGAATTGATAAATAATCACAATATTTCAATTTCATTAACAGATCGGAAATAATGATCAAGAGATACATGTTTTCAATATTTAATAAAGAAAATCTCAAATCAGGAATAAAATAAATTAAATAAATGCTAAGAATTTCAAAAATCTATAGAACTTTTTAAGTAAACAAGAGAACCCAAACCCCGAAAACAAAAACAAAACGTGTTTTCAAAGTCTAATGGGAAGTGGAATGGGGTTGGATTTTAGAACTTAGGCCTTCCTCAAAATCGGCGGCGCATTATTCAAGACGATGACGCCATCGATGACGCAATAAATTACACACAATGTTGATGATGATGCTCATCAAAATTCACAGAAGTGATGTTGGTATGTACTACATGTATGTACATACATACATATGTATATCCCAGGGGTGAGGTAAGGGGTTGATAAGGGGTGTGGCCCCAATTCCAAAGCGTCAAACCGAAACCAAAATTAAAAACAAAACACAAAACAAAAGAGAAAAAGAATTGGAGCCATGTGCGACATTAGGCGAAAACAAAAAACTAAATATTTTGAATGATGATTAGGCGGCGGATTTCCGCTAAAGAATCAAATGGGCCTAAACATGATATCACGACTTCAATACATATGTACATATGCTAACCAACTTGGGCAACAGGTTGTTTGGGCCCTTCGAGGTTTTTGTTGGTAAAAAAGATGAAAAAGGCCGCTATTACCAACTTCTAAATGACAAAATCCAATCAATGAAGCGAAGAAACCAGCTTGCTGATAAGAATATTCCCCTACTGCATTCGCCAGCAAACACGATTCGCATTCGTTTCGCGGTTTCGACCTCTGGAAATGATATCATCGCTGCCAATAATAATGCAGTTTAATGGCCAAACAGTGAAAATACTTGTAGAAAAAAATATCAACATTTTATTGCACAGCAAATTACCGAAAACTCAAAATCCTCGCGCTTTTCGAATAATCAAAAAAAAAACACATATAGTACCAGCCAAAAAAAAAAGTGTGTGCACCTCTATATCTATAGCTTTCGATGTGGATCTTACTCTTACTTTTCTCAAAATTCGACGTAGGACTCGGCCAACTGGGTTTTCTCGCACTTTTGGACTGGACAGTTGCGTCTTTTCGCGCGCACGTTGCAAACGAAACTGAAACCGAAACTGAAAAATAAAAGCGTTTGGCTGCTGCTTCTGCCTCTGCCCCGAATTTGCGTCGCAGTCGACGCAGCTGTGAGCGAAAACAAAACAAGAGGTAGCAGAAGGCTTCCAGACGGATTTACTGCCTCCCGACCCAGCGGATGCCCTGGAAAGAGGCAATCACCCAAAGGTTATCGGGTATGATAAAGGAAACTCTTAAGATTGGTAACCATTTTGCAAAGCTGTCAGAAATTTGCCTTGATTCCCATACATGTTCTAGATTTCAAATGCATCATTGCATTCAGTAAAATATCTGTATCTTAAGGTTGTAAAACTTACAAATAAGTAAGATTTTGAAACTTAATTTTAACACCTGACCAGTTTTTAAGCCAAAAATAAAATTCAAATACTTAATATTTGTACATTTTTAGTTCCTTTATGGCTATTATAATATAAACAATCAAGTGTTTCTTCAATGTTAGTCACAGAGCCACAACTTGTAATCAAATGTACAAAGGAAATAACTTAAAAAAATAAAATTCTATTTTTAAACAAATTTCTAATGTTCTCGACAATATGAAATGATTAAGAGGTTTTTCAGGCATATCATTTTGAGTTAAAAATAATTATAAAAGCCACAAACATATTTCAAAAAACGGTTTAACCGAGTTTTGCTATCAAAATATTGGGTTGGTAATATAACTATTATGAATTTCAAGGTACTATAGTAGTATAGTTGTATGACTAACCTTGTCCAAGTCAATGCTACCCGGTGGTGATTTCGTCCAGGGCATCCGCAAGGCAATTCAGCCAACGCCAACAAGTTGTGCTCGCTGAAAGGCGGCGACCGCATTGACTTGGCTGTGTCTGTGACTATCGCGGTATAAATGACGCCTGACGTCATGATGTCATCGTGTGAGCGGCGGAGCGGTGGAGCGGCCAACCTTAATATTTGTAATCTTCAAGTGCAACTAGGCCCCAGCCACGCCCCCTTGACACTGTTCATTAGCCGCCCTCCGATTGGCAATTAAAAAGAAAGGAATTAAACTTGGTAGTCGGTCGGTGGTGGACCATCAAAGCTCCTCAAACTTTTCCTCTGACTCAGCGCCACATGAGTGTAGAGTAAACGGAGTGGGTGAAGGCGAAAGAGAGTGCACTGCAAGAAATAATTGTACTTTAATGTCATAGGAAAAACTGTACATATGTATATGGTATGTTGACATACCTATCTTCGTGTTTAATAAAGCTTAGGTCCGTTATCTATTCTTACTGCTAATCAAATAAATCGTAAACATTTGATAATAATAAAATAACTTTTTGCTTCCTGAATATCTGATACAACTGCTCAAGAACCACATTATTATTAAACGAGAAACTGATGTTTGAATTGACTTTCATTGAAAAACAAGTATAATGTTACATTTTTTTATTAATCTGAGTTAAATATTTGTTTTACGTCTATTTCTCAGAAAACTCTTACTTGAACTTGCAGACATAACATTTTAATTAAAAATTTGTATGTAGTTTTTCTTGAATAAGGGCTATTTTTGGTGGTATCATTTTAAATTAGATCATTCTTTTCTCTGTGTACTCGTAAACTTTTTGAGAGAGAGGGCTATGAGTAATGCAGCAAATGCGGAGCCGGCGCCGCCCCAGTGGGTGGCAGTTATCAGCCAAATAGCTTTTATCAATAACTCAAATAAAACACAATGAATGAGAAAACAGAGCTCTTCAAGCTGGCAGCGTAATGCAAAAGCAATGCGGATCGCCTTCGGAGGGGAACCTTAAAGCATGCAAATACTCACCATGAGTAATAGACAATTTATAGAGACAAGGCATCAGAAACATGTCCACCGGATGGGGGTCAATCATAAGCTTCCATATAAAAATATTGTTTGTCTTTCCCGGCAAGTATTTAACCAACTGCTTACTTTTACCTTTAATAAAATATAAAACTAATTAAGTAAAAGTAATTCTTAAAAAGTATTTAAATAAAAGGTAGCTTCATTATCAAAAAAGTAAAATAGAGAAATTTTCCTTTTTGATTGAGGTTTTGAAGAAGAACAGCTTTATTTTCAAGCAACGAAATAAAAGATATTAAATTAAAAATAAATTTCAAAACACAGAAAAAGGGTGAATTTTCTTACAGAGTAGCAACTAATACCTGCCTGTCTTTGACCCAAAAAATGAAATGGCTCCTCCGATAAATAATTAAAATGTTACCAACCTTAAAGCCATGCCTTTATATTCCATTTTAAGGAGAAATGGGTTCGTCGTTGCCCATTAAACAGAAAAGGGGGCCATTAGCACTTCGGATTCTCAATTATTTAATTGCATGGATCACTGGTTGAATGAATGTTCGACATGTCGGCATGCAGGTCGTGCTTATGAATACTTGTGGGCGAGGCGAGTGTTTATTTTTTCGGGTGTCTCAATGTGTTCGCTTAGTACATGCAAGTGTAATCAAGTCAGGGTAATAATAAAATATATTTCTTTTCTTTCTTTTGCTCTTTTTAAAGAACATTTTCTTTATCTGCCTGCGAACATATAATGACGTAGGCATTCAGAGGCATATGTTTAATTATTCAGAAGCAGCTCCACTATCTTCTGCTCTACTTTCTTATACCCTCCTACTATATGACTCAACTTCAAAAACCTAAGAAAACGTTAAAGTAGTTCCCCTGAACAGAAAAATATCTAAGATCTAAGGAAAATGTCCTTGTAGTGTTTTTAGTCTCTGTCTAGTTCTAAGGTTTTTTTCATATCAATCTTTTTCATCTGTCTAAATCTCGACTTATTGACTGAACTGAACTGACTTGTATGTCCAGAGAGGTCCTATAAAAAGAAATAAAAAAAAACGTCATTGTTAGGAATAAAGGCATATTTAAATAGATTATTTTAAGTTTCAAGTTTAATTTTCTAATAATCTGAAGTATTTATGAAGTACTTATTTACTTTACTCTTACTTTACTTTACCTTACTTTACATTTACTTTTTGTAGACATAAGGGAAATAATTGAATTAATATCAACGTTCAAAATAATGTTTTTAAGTAATCTAAATGATTTATTGAAAAAGTACTTAAGTCTTTAAGGTATTGTTAAATAAAAAAATATACACCATTCAAAGGACTGTGTTCTGATTATAAGCAAACCTTAAAATATTTATATATTAAAGGAAAATAAATGTTATAAGGAGTATGTACACATTTTGAAAACTGTAAAAGATTCTTGAGTCCTTAAAGAAAAAAAGGAAAGCAGGTAAATACTTACATTTGTTTTGAGAACACTTTTTAAAAACCCAAGCAGAGATCACACTTAAGTATTGTATTGAATGATGTTGTTGCTGTTCCTACGCTCCAAGTCCCCGTTATCAGCCAATTGTTTCTGAGATGTTTAGCTAATCTGTAAAATAAATTGGTTATAAGTACATTATATTATAATTTATAATCTAAGTCTTAGCGTCACAAACCCTTTATTACTTCTGGGAAGCATTCGTCACTAGCTGGAAATCGGAAATGCCAACGCAGATCGGTTTGCAACCTGTTTTATATGATGCTACAGAAAAAGAACCGAACAAAGAACGCGGAGATCGGAAGATCGGGAGATGGCCAGTGGACGGGAGTCCCCTGTTGCTCTGGCGGATCGTAAGCTCTGGAATAAATCGTGAAAGCTCGGATCACTGGCGGTGATAAAACCTGCTGATAAGCCAAGCCGCCGAGAGCAGTTCTCATCCGGCATTAGATCTTGGCACACAATGTTCCCCGCTCGCTTTTGTTCGCTATTATTTGTGGTGGTGCTGGCGGTGATTCTAGTGATAGTGACCGCCGGAAGGCCGCGACATCGGCCGGACAATTGTCCGACCATCAAGCTGAAGCGCCAATGGGGCGGTAAACCATCGCTGGGCCTCCATTACCAAATCCGACCCATCCGCTTCGTAATCATCCATCACACGGTCACCAGCGAGTGCAGCGGATTGCTCAAGTGCGCCGAGATTCTTCAGAACATGCAAAACTATCATCAAAAGGAGCTGGAATACAACGATATCAGTTACAAGTAAGAATAGACATAATTTTAGACATAAATACATAACCAGCGTATTATACATACATATGTCAGCTCCCAATTCGTTTATGCTTTTAATAAGTAATATGATTTTATAAATATTTATATTAAATACTTATTTATAAGGATGTGGCTTTCAACAATGCCATATTATCACAAAAGTGGGAACAGGGATAAAATTGTATTACATGTAGTATATTTTAAAACAACCGGATTAGAAGAAAACAAGTTCAAATTAACAGGAGTTCTTAACTCAAAAGTATCCACAAATTAAGATTTAAATTTTAAGACTTTAAATAACTTTTGTGATTTGGCTTATAAAATTGATTTAAATCGGTAGGCTACTTCTGAGTGAGGCACAGATGTCGTAAATTTATATTATAGGGAGAATGGGTTTGAAATTTTCAAATAACATTCGGTAGGTAGGGCTGTAAAATAATAATTTTATGATACTGGAATAAATAAACTTAGTTTAGTGGTGTAATTAAGATGTAATTTTAAGTTCAACTAACTACCAGTGTAACCGGCGATCTTTTATAGCTTCCTGATTGGCAGTGATGGCATTGTTTACGAGGGCACTGGCTGGGGAATTCGGGGAGCACACACCTATGGCTACAATGGCAATGGCACGGGCATAGCCTTCATCGGAAACTTCGTGGGTAAGTGCTAATCTAATCTTCTCCTCCAGATGGAGCACTATATGTCCACAATCCTCGACAGATAAACTTCCAACGGATGCGGCTCTGCAGGCGGCAAAAGCCCTTCTGGCCTGCGGGGTGCGACAGGGGGAGTTGAGCGAGGATTACGCTCTGATCGCAGGTTCCCAGGTGATCAGCACCCAGAGTCCAGGACTGACGCTTTATAATGAGATCCAGGACTGGCCGCACTGGCTCTCAAATCCCTGAAATTTCACTTAAAAAACTTGTCATATTTTGGAAATTTGTTCTGACGGAAAGCTTCGATAACCGATTGACGGACAGCTGGGATGAGATTACAGTTATCAATAATGGCCTTCCACTACACTTACATTAAAACAACGGATTACTCGCGCATATTATCTTAAATTCCAATTTATATAAATCGTAATCTCATGAAAAGCACTTATAACGAGTTTTCATAAACTGACAGTATATTATAGTAAAACAATTAAATTCAATTTAAAACATTACCTGTGTATGTATTAAAAATTTTTTAATTGAAAAGGATAGAACCTCAAAAATATGCAAATTAAAATTATATATACTGTTTTTTTGTTTTTGAGTTTTCCCCTATGTTCTCAAACTGCTATGAATAATCCATTTTAATTGGAAATTGATAAGCCTTTCTATTAAAAATGCTCAGTGCAAATATTACCCGATTCAAAATGGCGTCGTAAAGCTTATCGATAACGGATTCCAGGCCGCAGGCGCAGCCAACTTAACTAAGTTTTAAACTTGCCTGTAGTTTTCCAGTCCAAAAAGCGCAATGCACATTATTTCCGACGAAAAGCTTGCCAAAATAATGGAGGACTTGGATAAGATCAGACAGAAGAGCACCAACAGCTCCGGCACTTCGAGCAGCAAGGACACGGACTACGAAGTCGGCGACGCCTACTCTGCGAAGGATGCCATTCGCCCACTGGTGGTCACCAACTGCTCCGAATATGTGGTGGCACATGCGAGAAACGAACTGCGTCCCGCTCGGCAATTCGCGGAGGTCTCAATGTTGCCGCACATCCTGGACACGATGAGGAAATTGGGCTTGAATAGACTGCTGCGCCTGCAGAGCTACACATGGCCACATTTGGCAGGAGGAGCTGGACATGGGGCGATGATTGTGGGAGCTCCAGGTAGTGGTCGCACTTTTTCGTACGTGCCATCAGTTTGTCATGCGGTATGCAAGGCCATACGGGAAAGCAGAAGCAGGCCCAAGGATCTGGAGCCGGGATCCTGGCAACAGGAACAGTATGGCGCCAAAGCCTTGATCCTTGTGCCCGATCTGCGTCGCGTCCGCCAGGTGAGCGCCCTGTGCCACGCCCTGCTGCGCAAGACATACAACGAGGAATGGTTCACGCTCACCCTCAATGTTCCCTCGACCAAAAGCTCGGAGTTCTTTCTGCGTCTCTTGAACGGAGTAGGTTGCCTGGTAGCCACTCCTGCCCAGCTGGTCTGGTTTTGGCAGGAGGCTCCCGGTCTAATGCGCTTCCCCTGCCTTCAGTTTCTGGTCTACGATGATGTGGATCTAATGTCCAAGGAGCAGCTGATGAACGCGCAGCAGGTGCTGCAGGAGATTCTGCCCATAACACACTCTCCCCAAGTGGTTATGGTTTCCCAGACATACAGTCCAGAGCTAATGGCCAAACTAAGCGCGGTCAATCATCAGCCGGCTCTTGTATTCGGCGATATAATGGAGGCAGCTCTGTACGGCGGAACACGTATTCGGATTTCCCTGGTTCCCTCATCAGCCAAAGTCAATGCAGTGATCCAGATGCTGCAGCAGCGCCCACCCAACGATTACCGCACGGTGATTTACTGCGTCGATGATAGGGACATGCAGCGCCTAGTGGTGGCTCTGAAGGATCAGCGCTACAATTGCCTGCCCTACTACCAGAATTCGGACATGGAGGTTCGCGAGCAGGTGCATAGTTGGCAGGCGAATAGTCGCGGCGTGATCCTGCTGTGCACGGACAACTGCCCAGAACTGATCATCCGAGATGCGCACACCCTGATCCATCACGGCATGAGCATCTCGTGGAGCAAGTTTAAAATGAGGCACCTTATGCTGTCCGGCAATCTAAGCAACAGTTTGGCTGCCGAAGTCGGCCCTGTGAAAGTGTCACTGCATTCGCTGGTGCTTATGGACGACAGCAACCATCGGGAACTGCCGCGTCTCGTGGACTTTCTTCAGCTGCATCAGGAGGTGGATCCCGGCGTAGTTGCGCTGGCCAAGCGTATACGCCAGGAGATGGATAAAGCCAGGAGCGAACAGAAAACTCTGTGCAGCCAGATTCTAGTGCTGGGAAAATGTTACGATTCCGTGTGTGAGAATCGTCATCACGTGACCCACTCGGACAGACGTCCTGATTATATTCCCGCATCTGGAGATGTAAAGGTAAAGCTGGTGCAGGTTTACTCGCCGACCCATTTTTGCGTCCGTCTACTAGAGCACATGCCGCCCCAAGGCACCTGGAAGACGCTGCCCTATCCGGCAGTGCAGGAGATGCGCATGCAGCTGATGCTGAATAATGAGTCCCCTCGCTACTGGCCACCTGTGGTCGGAGTCATCTGTCTGTACAACACCACATTCACCAAAGAGCGGGTACGCGTGCTGAAAGTGGCGCCCATACAAAATGTGAACATAGTCCAATCTAATTTGTCGGTGGAAGTCCAGGCCCTAGACGCGGACACGCGAATCTTTGTTACCGACTGTGGACGACTGTTTGAGTGTCCGGAGGCAATGCAGCGGGAGCCACCGATGGCCTGCGATCTGCGGCTTCTCGGCTTGGTGCCCTACTCCGGGGAACGCAGCTGGACTGAAGAGGATTGCCGCAATGTGAAAGGCATGCTGACCCAACTACCCAAGGATCATTTTCTTCAGGCCAAAATTCAGTTCGCCACCGCAGGCACCCTGTTCGTCCGGAATCTGGTGGCCATCGTTTATGCGGGCCAATTCAAAGTGCATCTGCGGCATCTGAATCTTGCCCAGAAGCTGATAAAGTCCACTTTGGCAAAAAGATGTGAGGAGGCGACCAACATGATCCTGGACTTCTTCGAGGAGGTATTAATACAAGAAAAGGAAGTGGAGGAGGAGAAGGAGGTTCAGGAGTCCAAGGAAAACGCGGAGAGGGAGACGCAGGAAGTAGTGAAAAACGAACTCGAGAAGAACAAAGGTACCATTTTAAGCGGCAGATGCCTACGACTGGCGCAGGTGGCCCTTGAGGTGGGCAGGGATAATCAGCTACAGCCAAAGTTACAGGAAACTAGATCCACGATCAGAGACGCATCGAGTAACCAGGTAGAAAACTATTCGGGTAAAACAGAAGAAGACGCCAAGCCGCACTCCAACGAAGACCAAGTTTCTCAGCTGTACGAGTGCTTAATGAACTGCGCCCGCCTTCAGTTGGAAGATAAAAAAGAGCCGGTAAAGGAGTCCGGTCAAGTGCACAGCGATCCAACTGAAGTCCTTAATCAAGTTGTGATACCAATCCAACTACCAGACAATGTGGTGCGACCGTCGGTGACCTACTATCAGACCACTTCTACCTTGGAGTTGCATGTGTGTCTGCTAGAAGATGATTACGAGTACCAAACTATGCTCCTCGGATCCCAGCTTTTCTTTAGGGCAACCTCAAAATCTTCGGAACTGATACAGCAGTTCATTCTGACTCTTAGATTCCCAATCGATAAACTACGTCATCACATCCGCGGACGCACCGTGTATATCAGTATCACAAAGTCGCTGGCTTACATCGTTCCGCTGGAATTTGGCGAGTACTCATTCCTTAAACCCAATCACGATGGGTTTGGCAAGATGTATGATTCCCGAAAGAGTGCACTGAAACAATTAGTTCGTGATCTGAGGGATTTCGGTTATTCGAAGCCAGAAGCGGAGTTACAGAATAAGAGCGACGAAAGTGAGGACGAAGATCGGAATCTGGATGGGATTGAACGTGTAGACTACAACGAAATATTCGACTGAAAAACTAATACATATTTTTTATCACAAATTCGTTTCTTTTTAATTAGACTGCATGCTTAACTCACTGAAATATTAAAAACTCTTACAATGGTTCGACAATCATTTCAACTTCACGTAGCGAACGGATTTAATGTTTATTTTTAAGATTGCTTACTTAAAAAGTATAATCTATGTTGGAAACAATAATCGATTTATTATAAATATGCAAATGCATGGGTAAAAAAGACAAATATTAGATTGTTTGCATATTAATGGTTTTAATAATTCTGTTAAAAAGTTGAAGTTTACCAAAAAGAAAGTTTCCAAAAACAAAAGGATCAAACAATGTTTTTAAATAATTGAACAGAAAATGAATGAAATAAACAAACTGGAGTTTTTGAGTAATTTTTTTTTTTATTTAATAATTTTCTACTTATTTTTTTGTGTCATCATTTACAAAAAGTTTTCGGTTTTGGTCATAAAAATATATATGAATATATAGATAGTAATATATGCATGTCTGCGGTCTTTATACTTATATACGTAGTTACGAAACGTTTCTGGCTGCAGACATAACTTGTGGGTGATAACATTTTGCTGGCGAAAACAATTAAGCCGGTTAATTAAAAAATAGTACAAATGGAAAACGCTATATATAGTGTTTGGTGTTTACTGGTTAAATACGCACTTAAGTAATCCCATTTATCCTCTTTATGCTTATAAACTATAGTCTTGCTACTAACTTTAGACCAGAAAAAAGAGATGTAAAAAAAAAGTTAAATATCCATTGCATAGGAGTGATAAGCCACTTCAAAGTAAACAATTGTATACACAACAGTTAATCAAAGAATAAATGTTGCATCCTGTTAGGCATTTCAATTTGTATCAATGTGTGCAAATGAGAATGGGGTAAAATTCACATTTCCATAAAACTGTTTCCGAATTTTTTAGATACGTTTTAGACACAATACTTGAAAAGTAAAACTATATCCATTGCGAATTATGCATAACCTAATTGAAATTGAAAATGCAAGCAGTAATGCCTATCTATTGCGGGTCATATCTGCTATGTTTTGAGGACTTTAAATTGTTAAATTCGCCCGACTCCTTGCGGAGATCGATCGCAGACGTGCTGGGGCAACTGCCCCCGTCCTTCCCCTTCCGAAGATCGATCGCAAACGGGTCTTAGCTACGGTTCGACCGCTCTGGGGACCTGGACGTGCTGGGGGAACTGCCCCCGTCCTCCTTTCCTCAGTCGTCGCTCTCCTCGAATGTAGGACTGCTGGGCGAGTAGGCCGGACTTGTGGGACTGTAATGTGATGGCGCCGTCGGCGAGTACATCGGTGACGTGGGCGAGTAGTTGCGGGCTGTGGGCGTGTACGTTGGAGACGTCGGCGAGTACTTGGTGCTGCTCGGTGAGTAAATGGACATGTTGGGCGAGTACCTCGGACTCGTCGCCGAGTAGGTCGATCCTGTGGGACTGTATTGGTTCGAGGGTGAGTGCTGCGGCGAACTAGGCGAATACAGCGGTGAGGTCGGCGAGTACTTGGGCGAGGCCGGCGAGTACTGTGGCGATCCTGGGGTGTATTGCGGTGATCCTGGCGAGCCATCGTACGACGGTGACGGCGGCGAGTACGTGGGCGATGTCGGCGAGTACTTCACCCCCGTCTGCGAGTAAGCTGGCGAGGCCGGTGAATAATGCGGGGAGGCTGAGTAGTTCGGACTGGTCGGCGAGTAGGAGGGTGTTACGGGTGTGTAGTTCGGACTCGTCGGCGAGTACGAAGGCGACGTGGGCGAGTAGCAAGGCGATGTAGGCGAGTAGGAAGGACTTGACGGCGAGTAGGATGGTGATGTCGGCGAGTAGGATGGTGAATTGGGTGAATAATTTGACGAGCCAGGCGAGTACGCATTGCCCGGTGAGTACATATTGCTGCCACTGCCAGCAAATGACGGACTCGACTGGAAGTGCGGCGTGGGCGAGTACACCGGAGATGTTGGCGAATATCCAGATGAAGAGGGCGAGTAACCCGTCGACTGGGGATTGAAGTTTGGTGTTGCCGACGCGTAACGTGGACTTGCACTCGCATAAAGCGGTGATGTCGGCGAATAGTTCGGACTTGAAGGCGAGTAATTGGGCGAGGCTCCGCCGGGCGATGAGGCCGTGTAGTTCGGACTAGTTGGGGAGTATGACGGGGAAACGCTCGGCGAAGCCGGGAAGTACGGCGACATCGAGGGGCCCGGTGAGCTAGGCGATGAACCCGGATGAGCTGGCGACCAGCTAGGCGACATTCCGGAGGCATCCGAGGCCGCTGAGGGTGAGAAACTGGGTCCGCCGGGAGTCATGGCGCTTACTGCAAACACAAGAAAGAAAGAGAAGGAAAATGTTAGTTGGGGATATCGAAATAAAGTGGAGAAAATACGAATATTATTCCATAACATAATTTAATAAATTTATCATTAACATAATTTGTATGCAAATTTATTTTAAATACTAAAGAAAATAAAAATTGACTAGTACATTAAATAATGCTCACTACAAAAGCAAGAATAAGACAATAGGATAACTTACCATGGCCTGGTGGCGAGAAGTAACGCGGCGTATTGCAGTTCACCCACGGCGTCATCGGTGGCGTCATGCTCGGCGTGGATCCCCCGCCGATGAACATGGCGGCGCCGCCCAGCATACTGCTGCCCAGCGTGTTGGGAATCTCGATGCCGAAGCGACACTTCTCCGCATCGAGCAGCAGGTCGAAGCAGCCGGTGCCCATCTTGGGCAGCTGGCCCATAATAATATTCTCGGACACACCTCTCATGGGATCCGTTTCCGCATGGGCGGCGGCGTCCATCAGCACGTCCACCGTCTCCTCGAAGGAGCAACGCATAAGGGCACCAGTGTCCTGTCTGTTGATGCCGTGACGGGTGATGGCCATCAGATGGCCCTTGGCGGTCATCACGTCGCACAACAGGGCCAAGTGGCGGTAGTTCACGTACAGGCCGTAGAACTGCAGCACGGCGTTCATCTCCTTCTCGACGGACTTTCGCACCGCCTCGATGCCCAGCACTTGGAAGATCTCGCAGATATCGTTGGAGGATGTCCGGATGGGGTCCACGTCGCGCTCGGACAGTACCTTCATCATCGAGGTGCCGTCCGTCTCGAGCAGCCACTCGCCAATGGCCTTGAACTCTCCAGTCTCTGTGATCACGATGCGCTTCTTGCTGTCCGTCTGCGGCAGATGCATGTACACCTTGCCGATGGCCTCAATGCCCTGCAGCGTCATGTCCGACAGCATATTGGCCTCAATGCAGCGCAGGAACATGTCGTCCTCCATCTTGTCGACGGCCTCGTCCTCGTCCTGGAACTTGTTCTCCTCGTTGTTCATGATCCTAATGCGCAGCACCAGCTTGTCAGCATTGTCGTCGTTGAAGATGCAATTGAGGTCCTCACCGAAGCCCACGTTGATCTTCTCGGCAATCTGTTCCATGGTCAGCTTCTTGTCCGTCATCCGCTTGCGATCCAACTCGATGCGGAGAAGCCAGGGCGAGATGCGTGTGGGATCAAAGTCGGGCATTTCGTAGTAGACATTCACGAACTCCTGATCCTCGGATATCACCGTTCTCTGCGGATCCGGATCGTAGTAAATAGCCGTATTAGCAGTCACCTTGCGCAGAGTGGTGTGTTCCAGCCGGCACAGCACGTTCTTGGCCTTCTCCGCATCGCGGGCAGCACCGCCAGTAAGGAATACGGTTAGCGACGGAGCCTTGGGTTTCTTGGATATATTGATAATCTCCTTGAGACGCGGCACACCCAGTGTTACGTTCTTCGACGATACACCAGCGAAATGGAAGGTGTTCAGTGTCATCTGTGTAGCGGGCTCTCCCAAACTCTGAGCGGCCAAAGCACCCACCATCTCGCCGGGATTGGCCTGGGCCTGCTGGAAACGCGTCTCGATTTCTCCGATCAACCACTCAAAGGCCTCTGTGGACAGACGGAACTCCTCCGACACGTATTTCGTGCACAGCGTGGAGCGGATCAGACACTGGAACAGTAGCGTGGCGTTCTCGTTGGCCTGCTTTGATATCCGATCATTGCCAGTCACAATAACACATCGTTCTAGCAACCCCTTGACGCCCTTGATCACTCGCATGGGCGAGAGATCCGTGGGCAGGCGCTTGTTGATGTGGAAGATCTTCTGCACGTTCCAGATCATGCGCTGCAGGTTGCACGGCAGTACCACCTTGGAGTCGCCGTTGGGGAAGATTTGCCGCAAGCTGTCACGATCGGCGACCAGGCGATCCCACTCCGCCTCCAGTTCCTGAATGGCTTCGCTGCTGTCGGTCATCTCCTTGATCACATCGTCAGTGAACACCTTCCTCATGTATCGCTCGTTGCTCCAGTCGAACTTAAAACGTTTCTCAAACGCCTTGTTCGACAGCTTCACCGTGGGCATGTTCTGGAACTCTACCAGCTCGCCGCACAGACCGTCCTCGCCGTAACGCAACTGAATGAGCTGACCCACCGAGTTACGCACTGTGCCATCGTAGTTGACCATCACCGACTCCATAGCCTTTATAAGACGACGCTGGATGTAACCGGTTTCAGCTGTCTTCACAGCGGTATCAATAAGACCTTCACGACCGCCCATAGCGTGAAAATAAAACTCGGAGGGCGTCAGGCCGGCAAGATACGAGTTCTCCACGAAGCCACGGGACTCGGGACCGTAATCGTCTTTGATGAAGTGGGGTAGAGTGCGCTTGCGAAATCCGTAAGGGATTCGCTTACCCTCTACGTTCTGCTGACCCACACAAGCAATAACCTGGAAGAGAAGTAAACCAATCGATTAGATTTATTCGAAAGGAAAGCTCTAGGTAATAACTCACCTGAGAGATATTAATGTTGGAACCCTTGGAGCCGGACACCACCATAGCCTTTAGATTGTTGTACTCTGTGAGGGATTTCTTGGCCGAGCCACCAGTTTTGTCACGAGCATCGTTCAGAATACGGTTCACCTTGTTCTCGAAGGTCTGACGCAGAGTGTTACCCGGCGTCGGCTCGAGCTCCATGTTGTGGGCCTTCTGGATAACGTTTATCACGTCGTCCTTGGCCTTCTTGATGGCCTGCTGGATCTCGTTATAGGTCTGCGGATCGGCAATGGTGTCACCAATACCTATACTATGGCCCTCGAGAAGCAGCCAATTGTTGATCACGGTCTGAATGTTGCCGTAGAACCGGCCGGCGATGTCGTGACCGAGTTCCAGGAAACAAATATGCAGCAGCGAACCGGCCGAAGTACCCAGCGTCTTCTTGCAGAGAATGCCCATGATGAGTTCGCCGTGCTCCACCATTACCTTGGTATCGCCGGGCGATATCCACTTGTACGGCCCATCATCCTCCTCGTCCGGATGCGTGGAATGCGTACGTATCATGTTCACGTTGCCGGGGATGATCAGGGAGAAGATCTGTTTGCCCGTCCACAGGGGTCGTGGCTTAAGAATGCACGGCTGCGGCATTTTGCCGTCCCACGTGGGCAGGAACATCAGCAGATTCATCACCTGCTCGCGCGTGATGAACACATCACGCTTGGTCATCTTTCGCACCGCAGTCAGTGTGTCCTGCACGATACCCATGACGGGTTTGTTCGCCTGAGGCGTGATGATCTGTCTGGGTGTGATGTGGATGTTCTCCACCTCGGCACGCGTCTCCATTGACTGCGGAACGTGCAGGTTCATCTCGTCGCCGTCGAAATCGGCATTGTATGGCGATGTACACGAGAGGTTCATACGGAACGTCGACCAGGGCAGCACCTTCACCCTGTGCCCCATCATACTCATCTTGTGCAGCGTGGGCTGTCGGTTGAAGATCACCAGATCATCGTCGCGTAAATGTCGCTCCACCTTGTAGCCGCACTGCAAATGTAGATCGGAGGATTTCGGGTGGAAGCGCAGATCAATACGCTCGCCATTGTCGCGCACAATGTACTTGGCTCCTGGATACTGTGAGTTACCTCTCCGCACCAGCTCCTGCATGCGATCAATGTTGAACGGAGTGACCAGCTCGGGGAAGGTCAGATTCTGGGCAATGGAGCGCGGCACACCGACCTGATCGATACGCAGATTGGGATCGGGGGTGATGACAGTACGAGCGGAGAAGTCCACACGTTTACCCATCAAGTTGCCACGAATTCTGCCCTCCTTGCCCTTGAGACGCGCCTTGATGGCTTTGAGGGGCTTTCCGGATTTCTGCATGGCCCTAGGCATTCCGGGCATGTCATTGTCGACCAACGTGGCCACGTGGAACTGCAGCATCTTGATGTTCTCCTGGATCACGTGCGCCGCCGCTCCGCTTGCCTCGTTCTTCCGCAGCTCATTGTTCGCCTTGATGATATCGGACAGCTTGTGGGTCAAATCGTCCTGATTCTTCGCCGCACCGAACATCACTACAGCTGGACGCACGGCCAAAGGTGGAACGGGCAGGACGGTAACGATCATCCAATCGGGCCGCGCGTACTTGGGGTCCATGCCCAGAATGAAGCACTCCTCATCGGTGATGTGCTTGAGGATCTCCCAAACACGTTCCGCCGACACCACGATCTTCTTCTCCTGCGAGTCCTCGTTGGGATGCTTCCACTCGGCGGTGAGATCCAGTCCCGTCCGCCGGATTGACGGCTGGTAGTGACCGCAACCGCCGTGGCCGGGCTTTTTGTTTGGATCCGGCTGCTGGTTCTCCTTGGTCAGGTCCATGTCCTCGCCGCCCTCGCAAATCGTCTTGCCCTTGCACAGATCATAGACGTAGGCCAGACGCTTTCGCGGCTGTCCTTTGGACTTCATCACGATCTCCTTGATCTTCGGATTGTGGGGCGAGACTAACATTTTGGAACAGTAGAAGCATACGCAGCGCAGGATCTTGATTGTCTTGGTGATGAAGCCGATGTGGAACACTGGTTTGGCCAGGTCGATATGTCCAAAGTGTCCGGGGCATTCGGTCATGTTGCCGGCGCACGTCTGGCAGCGCGACGTCCTGTCGATGACACCTTGCCGCGGATCCATCAGACCTCCCAGTTTCGGACGACCGCCCTCCATCGTCTCGGCGAACTGGACGCCACCCTCTGTGACGGACATGCGGCGCTGTAAGCAGGAAGGGAGTTTCATGAGTATCATGATCCATACTTTATTTAATAGACTTTAACATCTATTTCTGAAATTCCTTTAAATTGTTTTTCTTCATCATTTTTATTGAGAATATTTGGTAGGTTCATCTTGACTTCGTTTTCAATTCAGTTAACATTCTTCCAATATAAAACTTTTTGTTTATTTAAGGTACTTGATAAGTGTAGCAATACAATCAGAAGTAAACATTACGTAAGATTTTGTTGTAGTTAATCCAAATAATGTAATACCCTAAGTATTGAGATCAACAAAGATTCAGTTGGAAAACGATTCTAGTATGTACAAAAACAAAACTTTTTCCAAGTAAATGTTAGTGATTAAGTTTTACTTTACCACAATAGGTGTTGATTATTATCTAGGTAAACAATTATTATTTCATTATTTCATGTAATTTTTATCATGATTTTGATCCCGTATTCGATGGAAGACGATGAGTCACACAAAAGGCAGATTGAAAAGTATATAGAATAACCCACATTAAAATAAAATATCGGTAGGATAACTTGTTGCATTTTCTAACAACTGAAAACTATTGTTACCCTCGTATATTCCATTTATGGATGACAAATTAAGAATGCTAATGACTTTCACTTGTTACCATAAAATTCTAATTTTGTAAGGAATTTCTTTTATCTAAGATCCATGAAATACAATCTGTCATACAGAAAGTACATAGCATTGGAGTTAACATTAAATAACTGTAACTTCTTAAATCCGTAACACTCATTACAACAAAAATCTATATTTACTCAGCTCAGCCCTGAATATCCTAAATATAGAGGATGTAATCCCAACCCAGATCAATCCACATACAACTTTCAAAGCAGACCCAAATCAATATCATTGGATTTAACCTCGTACAAAGGGCAACAACACATGTGTATATTAAATAATATCCATTTATTTGCAAAACTCCCACAGAATGCGTTGTGGGTGATTGCGAATTTGTATTCTAGTTTACAATTTTTTTTCAACATGGCGTCGGACGGAGCTGCACTTACAATTTCATCAGGTGACAATATGCCGAACTGTACGCGCTTAACCTGGCGCAGAGGCGCCTTTGAGTCCGTGGTGGTACTCATCCTGGTCAGCGGCGGAGGTGGTGGCCACTAGCGTGGGGGAACCAGTGGCGAAGGCGACTGCGATTCGCAGAAAGTGGGGCTGCTTTCTGTTTTTCTGCTGCGTCGTCACACTTTTCACCTCGTGCAGACGAACAAAAAAATAGGAATTTGCACGACGCGGATTTTGCGGGGGCGTGGGCAAAAACAAAGCGGGGTAAACAATCACTGTTTGTTGCTGGCTCCCTGGCCGTGCATTCTATAACTTTCGTTCTCTACAGGCGGTTGCGAGTGCGAATTTCCCCGTTTTTTACGCGATGCGATGTGAAAACGCGGACAACGCCGACCAAAAAGTGTGACCGCAGCGACTTTCAGAAACACCACGGAAGAATACGGTATGCGCGGATGGTTGCCAGATAAGTATCTAAAAAGCTGTTTATTGACTAGCTAGATTGTCAGACAGCAAATAAATTGCAATTGAAAAAACAAAATTGTTCAATTTCGCTATTTTCATTTTCAAAATAATTAATTCATCTATTGAATGCAGTTTGCATTGGCAACATGAAAGTTTCGACATAATTTGACTATGAAACAATCTGTGGATATTAAGGAACCCAACAATGACAGCGCAGCGTTACAATTAAAAATACATACGTTCAAATTAAGGAAATCGCGCATAAAGGTTTAATTTGTATGTTTATAAGGTAAATAAATTAAAAGAACAATTTTCAATGAATTTAAGTAAAATAGGCCAGGTGGCAACCTTGTTTTTAGTGCTGGTCAACGACAGCCGAAGCAGTGCTGGGAAATTGCGGCCGGTCAAGTCAAGAGCGGTCAATCAGCTGTGCGTTTAGATTTGGTTAATTACGACAATACATCGCAGTAGCAGCGCAGAAAAGCAGTGGAACGATGAGCGAGGCCGGCACCAACGTGGATGCAGTGGCGGCCGAGAAGGAGCGCAAGTTTCGCATCCAGGGTGGGTTGTCCTCTCCCAACTGGCACTTATTCCCCTGACCTGACTGAGGTACACCTCCTCCTCCGCTTTGCAGCCGGCGCCTTTCTGGGCTTAGTGGGTGGCGTATCCGCTCTGTTTGGATTCTCCCGCACGCTGGCCACCGCGAAGAAGACGGACAGCAAGGTCCTCCAGCAGGCTGGAACGCGGCAAGGAATGATATTGATGGACGAGGGCGCCACCTTGGCCCTGCGGGCCTTGGGATGGGGCACTCTGTATGCCGTCATGGGCACCGGCGCCTTCTGCTACGGCTTCTGGAAGCTGTCCGGAGCCAAAGACGTGGGCACTGCCTCCAGTTGGCGACTAGAATTTCCAACTAATGCTTCCGTTCTCTTGCAGTTCCCGGAGTTTCGCCTCAAGATGGGCAACGCACTGCCAAGAATCACCAAGGACGAACCGCCTGCCAGCCGCACAGACTTTGAGAGCCTCACAGACCTCATGAAGTACCTGGCCGCCTGGAACAAAGAATGAGCAGCTCACAACCACACAATTTAAATTAAACCTAACGCCTAAGTAGACAATAACATAAACCAAAACCGTTGTTAACTTGAGTTTATATACAGGCAAATATTTTCTTTTCAATTTGATCGGTTTTCATTTTAGTGAAGAAAGCAAGCTAGTTATTGTTTATTTTCTTAAAGACTGTTTAATGTCAAGTTGCATTATATACATGTCAGTAAGTCTCAAAGTTTCTGTTCTTGATTTGACCAATTTAATTGATTCGCGGAACTTCTCATTGTGTAATGGAGTTTTAAAACCGCTTTTCAGATTAAAGTAGCTGAAATGTTTGTCAAAAATCATTAGGGAAACTTTACCGATCATAGGTTTATTTATTAATTACAAGGCTATATTATTTCCATATTTATTAATGACTTTCATCGTTAGCCAGCTAGATTTTGGTGGAAGGCGTTGTTGACCATGTTGTTTCGCAAGAACCGATACTGATCTTCTATGTTGTCTTGCAGCTCCATCATTTCCTCGTGCTCTGCCTGAAATCGGGTGGCGATATTTATAAAGTCTAGGGAGCCCCGTACGAAGTTCTGCAAATTGGGGCCCTGATCGAGGTACCGCTGCTGCTCTTCGTTGGGTTTGTAGTTTACTGTCCGATTGCCCAGATCCAGTGCCGACTTCATCACGAAGTCGAAAAACTTTTGCTGATCCTTTTGGGCGCGCTCCTTGTACTCCTGCAACGCCTCTTCCTGCGAGTTGGGTCCCCAGACTTAACAAGAAACTATAGATGTAAGCATATCCCTGATTTTACTGACCAAAAATCAACTTACTTTCGTCTAGGTCGATGTTGAATAGAGTGCTGGCCTCGTAGGGTCGGGGCTTCAGGGTCGTTTCCAGCTGGGCGGGCACATCCTTAAGTTCAATGTCGGATAAATCATCGCAGGAATCGGCACTCATGCTGGACACGTTATTCAATAGAGCCGACGAACATACAGTCGTTATTTGTGGTTTTTCTGAATTTTTATTTGGCTCCATCGCGTCGCTTCTTGTTTTCAAAACCGTTAACAGTGTTGTAAAGCGCCGCTGCTTGATGCATATGCCCTGGGGGCCAGTGATGCCTCGCCGATTTATATCCCATCTATTTTTTCCCATGCATTTTTTATTTCTTCTAAAAATGTTCAGATTCAAGTCAATATGTAGTTTTATTTTCTTATTTATTTCTTATATACTGTCAACAAACGTTGCAAGCTGAAGCAGGCGCTTCCTCATATTTCATTTATTCACATACCAAATTCATATACCAATTCGAGAACCAAATCCCAGAAATATTTTCAGCAACTCCAAAATTTTTAAGTTCGCCATATTTAAAACCATGATTTATGCGAACGTGGTGCGCCTGATTTCCCTACTGGTGGGCTGTTTATACCCGGCATTCGCGTCCTACAAGATCCTGAATGGTCAGAGGCGAAGCGATGAGGTTGAACTCCGCAGGTGGTTGTCGTACTGGATCGTTTATGGTGTTTACGTGGTTTTTGATTACATAACAGCCAGTCTGGTGACATTCATTCCGTTCTTAAACGAGATCAAGCTTCTCTTCCTCTTCTGGCTGCTACCCACAGTGGGTGGCGGCAATGAGGTGATCTATGAGGAGTTCCTGCGGTCCTTTTTCAGCAACAATGAATTCTCCATTGACCAGGTCGTCACCCATGCCACTTTGACAGGGGGTGAATTAGTGGGCCAACTTTTGGGCTCTGTTCTTGGGCAACTGATGGCCATTGCGGACAGCTGGTTCCTATCCCGCGGACAACGCCCACCCCTTCATATCACGCCCAGCATCGAGGATCTCGTCAACGACGTGATAGCCAAAAGGCAGTTGAAGGAAAAACGAAAGCAGCAGGAAAACCTATCTGATACCATTAATGAAGTCCTGGGAGAAAAGAGTGATAGGAATAGCACTTTGGCTAGTTTGGATTTACTAGACGAATCGGAATCGGATCTGCTGATCCTTAAAAATCATATTGCCAGTCCCAAAGATAAACCCCAAACCCCGCCGAAGCCAATGCGTCCGTCATCCCTTTGTAACCAGGAAATGGATCTTAAGGCGGGGTTCAATCAAAATCGATATAATCCTTTACCCGCAGAAGTTGAATTATCATAGAAAAAAGTTTCAATCAGCAAAATTATTCGAATTCACAATTTTGTTTAACACACAAAAGTGTTAAATTAGATTAATACACATTTACCCTGTATCCAAATTGCAAAAATAAGCTAACAGTACCGTTAAACAATAAATTTACAAGCAACCCCAGAAATGTATTGTTTCCGATATTACAAAATCTCTGTAAATCTATTTTTCTTGTAAGTAATAATTAATAATAAAAAATACACCAAAAAAGCACATAATCCACGTTTAAACGAAAACTGCTACAAACATTAGATTAATAAACTTGGTTGTCAGCTATTTTTTTAAAGCTTTTTTTTTGCATTTGCCGAATGTGGCAGCACTATCGAACCGATCCGGCAACGCCCGTTGCAACAACTCAGCAACGACTCAAAAACAGCTGCATTTAACGCGATTTGATTTGCGATTTGTGTCCTTTCTTTTATGAGATGATATGCCGACTCTGCCTGGAGGATGCTGAGCACGGGGTGCCCATTTTCGGCCAGGATGCGTCAACGGCGCAACCGGCCCTGCGCCAGCTGGCGGAGCTGATCGAGCGACATCTGCAGCTGGTGGTGAGTATTTGGGACCGGATTTCCAGTCGCATCCGGGAAAAAGCCTTTCTTGATAATTCACCCTATAATTCTCCCCAGTTGGCGGCAAACGATGCGGTGTCCACATGCCTGTGTAACCGTTGCTGGAGGCAGCTGGCCGAGATCGAGCACTTCTGCTCCATGGTGGCAGACAAGCAGCGTTCGCTGCACCGCTCGCTGCAGCTCAAGACGGAACTGCCGGAGCTGCCTGAACTGGCGGAACCGGAGCCCGCCCTGGTCGTGTGGAACACGGAGTCGCCCATCGAGCCGAAGCTCAGTTATGAGGGCGACGACATCAAGGATCACATTCTGTGCGAACCGGTCATCGATGCCTTGTCCGCCGGCGATGAAAAGGACAGCGACTATGGCGACACCTTTGAGCCGGACTTTGAGCCAGAATTGCAGCCGGAGGACGAGCCAGAGCCGGATCCGGTGAAACCACGCCCTAGAGGAAGGCCACGGAAAACGCCGCTGCAGCAGACGCATCAGATCATCAAGAGGAAGTACGAGAAGCGCAAGCAGCAGAACAAGGTCAAGATCACAGAGCTATCTTTGAGGGAGTCTAGAGCCAGGTTAAGAGAGCTAAAACGCAGCAGTACTGGAGCAGAAGAGGATCAGGAGGAGGACGACGATGAGGAGGAGGATGCAGAGACAGAAACGGCTCCAGATGCTGACGAGCAGCCAAAGCCCCGTGGTAAACGCGGCCGGCCCAAGACCAAGAAACTGGTCACTGCCGACGATAACGACGATCCCTCGGAGGCGCCCGTCAAGCGCAGCAGCATCAAGGAGATGGACGACTATATAGCCGCCAATGTTAAGCTGGACTGTGCCATTTGCACCGCTCCGCTGGAGGATTTCAACGATCTCAAGCGCCACTTTCGTGTGGAGCACGACTGCACCGGCTATGTGAAGTGCTGCAATAATCGATACAAGAAGCGGACACTGTACGTCGACCATCTGCACTGCCACAAGGATCCGCAGTATTTTAGCTGCCAGAGCTGCCGCAAGAACTTCCTCAATCGTAACAGTCAGGTGATGCACATGCTGCGCTTCCACTCGCAGCAGCAGGAGCTGGTTCACCAGTGCGCCATCTGCGAGGCGCGCTTCGCCAAGAAGTTCCTCCTGACCATGCACCTCAAGGGGCACAAGGGAACCGAAAGGCCCGAGGTGTGCGACACCTGCGGCAAGACGTGAGTGATGCTGGCCTGGTAGCCAATCCCCTAATGCTTTCCTTTCTCACATTGCAGATTCCGCACCAAGTTCGAGTTGAGCGCCCATGTCAAACGGATGCATGCAGCGGACTTTACGCCAATTATTTGCGATATTTGCGGGACACACTTTAGGAGCAAAGCCAACTTCCTCATCCACAAGAAGGCGCTGCATCCGGACGGGCCCGTGGCGGAGGTGCAGTGTACCCTGTGCGGCCGCTGGCTGCGGGACGAGCGGAGCCTGCGCAAGCATCTGGCACGCCACGATGACCGCGACGGCGACACTAAGTACCGATGCCTGCTCTGCAATGCAGAGAAGTCATCCCGTGCCGCACTCAGCAGCCACATGCGGTACCATCACTCCGCCAAGCGGCACAAGTGCAGTCTCTGCGATAAGGAGTTCAAGCTGCCGCGGGCTTTAGCCGTGAGTTTAACTATTCATCCCATCCAGATCGGACTAATCCCTGACTGTCTCTTCTAGGAGCACATGGCTACACACACGGGCATCGATCTGTATCAATGCCAGTTCTGCACGCGCACCTTTAAGTCGCACGCCAACATGCACAACCACAAGAAGAAGATGCATCCAAACGACTGGGTGCGGAAGTACTCACAGCCCAGTAGCAGCATAACCTCCGCAGCAGCTCCAGCTGCTCATGCTCCCACTCCTGCTGCAGTGGCTCCTGCTCCTGCGCCTTTAGTCGGACATATGCTGCCGCCGCTGGGAGGGATTAACAAGTCCCTGATTGAGATACCCGATCCCGAGGGCTTTGACTTTGTCAGCAACAGCTCCGTATGCCCAACGCCCGACTGAATCTGTGTATGTCTGTCTCTGTGTACTTTGTGTATCCATTCCCTGGCTGGGATTTATGTATAAAACCGTACAAATAAAATTGAGTAATTACTGTAGTTGTATGGAAATCATGGGTAATCGTAGTCAGTTCAGGGCTCGTCCTCCGCCTCGTCAGCCTCCTCCTCGTTCTCCGTGAGAATGGTGCGGATCTTCATGAGCAGCTCCTTCTTAACGGCGTCCGGAACAAGGGTGCGGGCTTTTGGCGTCACCTCCGTGATGAGCTGCTCCACGGTGAAGCTGTTGTTGGTACCCTTCTCCAACAGAATAGTGCGGCACATCAGGCGCACCTCGTCCCGCCAGCCGCACTCCGTCAGCCGACTGCACAGCAGGTCCTTGATCTTGGAACGGTCCCCCGTCAGCACCGTGTATTGGTCCACTGCGGCGGAAACGGTCATTCTGGATGAGACCGGCAAAAGGGATTGGGTTCTAATGCTACAAATTACTTCTCTCGGGGCGTCTTCTTCTTCCTGGTCCTTGTCGATTCTGCTGCCTCTTCCTCTTCGTCGTCCTCTGCCTCTGCTCTTCCTCTTAGCGTAGCGTCTATTCCTTTTTGTTTGCCCGGCTCGCGTTGTCCTGTGTTGTTGCTGTCAGTGCTGTCAGATTGGGGATTTTTCTAGCTACTGTGCGGAAACAGATCCCAAACGTTGTGTTGAACAAAGTTTTTCTTTTATCTATTTAACCTATATATTTGTATGTCTGAATAAAAATTATAAAGTTTAACACAAATAAATAACAGTTTCTTCTATTTAACAAATGACCCAACACCACTTGCATATTTAGATTTTGTATTCCCTCCGCTTTGACATCTCGGTCCCTTAACGTTGATTCTGCCCGCGATCTGGCAACTTCGCGGCGACGTCTCGTAAACCGAATTAGCCAAGCAATTAATAAAATTAATTGAAGTTCCTGCAGCCAAAAAGCAATGATATGCCGCCTCTGCCTGGACGATGCGGAGCACAGCGTGCCTATCTTTGACCAGGAGGACACCACCGACCAACCGGTGCCCTCCAACCTGGCGGAACTCATTGAGAAGCACCTGCAGTTGGTGGTAAGCAGTATAATTCAATTTAAATTGTATTCTTGAATTGCATCCCTATCTTCAGCTCCTGCCCAACGATGCGGTGTCCAAGTGCCTGTGCACCCAGTGCTGGCAGCAGTTGGCCGACTTCGAACAGTTCTGCGCCATGGTGATGAAGAAGCAGCTGGGCCTGCAGCATCTGAAGATGGAGCCCTTTTCGGAGGACGAGGATGCGGACACAAAGGCGCAGATCCTGTGCGAACCAGAGATCGACGTGAGTCCTGCGGCAGCAGACAATGAGGAGTGCAACGAGATCGACGGAGATGCCAGCAGCAGGAGCAGTAGTATCCGGCCAACCAGCCGACGGAAGATGCGTTTGCCATCGCCCATCAGACGCAGCATGCGACCCCGCGCCGCCACAACTCCCAAGACCCGAATCATTAAGGCCAAGGCCAAGACGAAGCGCCACCAAGAGGAGGCGGACGAGGATGAGGATGCCGAGGGTGATCCGGAGACCCGGAGCAGCAACAGCCGGGAGATGGACAGCTACATCGCTTTGCACGGCCGTTTAGAGTGCTGCATGTGCGGCGGCGACGATCAGTTCCAGAACTTTGCCGAGATGAAGCGGCATTTCCGGAATCAGCACCAATCCGCCGGGTATGTGGTCTGCTGTCAACGGCGCTACAAGAAGCGAGCCCTCTACGTGGACCATCTCCGCATGCACAACGATCCGGACTACTTTAGGTACTTGGCCAGCATGAGCTTTTGATGTAACCCCTACTAATGAACGAACTGCAGGTGCAAGATCTGTTCCAAGCAGCTGGTCAGCCGGATTAGCTACGACGTACACATGCTGCGCTTCCACTCTAACGAGGACGAGCTGAGCTTCGCCTGCGATCAGTGCTCCAAGCGGTTCTCCAAACAGTTTCTGCTCACCATCCACTCAAGAGTGCACCAGCAGGAAAGAAAGGAGCAGTGCAAGCACTGCGACAGATCGTAAGTTAAAGGAGGGTGTACAAATATATTTCCTAGATCACATTGGTCCTTGGTGTATCCTCTAATTGGAGATCGCTGGACCTATTTAGTTGAATTAATAGTTAGACTGAGCTGAGTTCCATTACTTGACTAAAACCATTGTTTATGCCCCCACAGCTTCCGTACCGCCGTTGACCTGCGACTGCACATGCGACGCACCCATGACCCCGCCTTCGTGCCCTTCATCTGTGACTCGTGCGGCGCCAAGTTCAAGACGAAGCAGAACCTGCTGGTTCACAAACGCACCGTGCACCGCGAGGGCTCTCAGCTACCGGAGGTCCAGTGCCAGGAGTGTCAGGTGTGGCTGTCCGATGAGAATAGCCTGCGCAAGCACATGTATATGCACCTGGATGCCGCCTCGTTACGGCAGTGGAAGTGCGAGCAGTGCGGCCTGGAAAAGGGGTCGCGGGCAAAGCTGGCGGCGCACATACGCTACCATCACCCAAAGGAGTTCCACAAGTGCTCGCACTGCGGCAAGGAGTTCAAAAGCAGCCGCGGACTGGAGGAGCACACGGCCACGCACACCGGCCAGGATCTGTACGAGTGCGCCTTCTGCGAGCGCACCTTCAAGAACTCTGGAAACATGCATAAGCACCGCCGCCAAATGCACGCCGCCCAGGTGGCCGCGCTGCAGCAGCAGAAGAAGGTGCGGCCCAGCAAGCGCAAGGACAAGGGCGACCTGCTGCTCGACGTCCTGGCCGCCAGCGGAAAGGAACTGGACCACACCATGGGAGTGGGCGACATGAACGACTGATCGATTCCAAAAACTAAATAAACATACATTGGGAATGATATGCTAGCTGGTCTATTTTTATTTCGTTTTGAACTCACAAAATAGATCATCCATAGGATTTTCTTAAAAAATCATATTGTTAATTTTGTGCATTGGAGCTTAATTATTTAAGCATTACAATTTATTATATTTTTTATGAAAAACAAGAATTAGAGTATGATTTTAAAGTAAAATCATTATATTTGGATACATATGTACCAACATCGAATAATAATAATTTTTAAGCCAATACATAAAAAACAAATGAGCTTACATTTTCAACATTAATACCGAAGAACGGTTTGAAAATTAATAAGTGTCAGAATTCCCGTTATTTTTCTTTTCCTCTCCATTCCATTCCCACTATATCCAGTATTTTATAGTCTAGGTACCTTCAGTGTGCCCAAAACATCAACATATCGAAAGCTAGCATGGCTAGATGTAGCAGTATACCCGCTCTGGGCACACTAGCAGGCGTTTCTTAAGAGGTTCGGTTCGGAAGAAAGCAATCTTACTGATATCTGTAAACAATTTCGAACTAGGGCTTTATATTTATTTCAAAAGTTTAGATAGACGAACCTTAGTGATATTGTTTTAGATTCGATCTCAAAAATTTAATTTAATTTTAATGTCAAACACACTCAAACACACATTTGTAACTCAGTTAATAATTTTCTGGTATACATACACACTGATTACGCATTCAATTGGCTTATGCTCATAGTTTTTTTTAAATTTTCTTGCGCCAAGTAAAACATTTAAAAGAAATGGACAAAAATTGGGGGCGTTTAAATAGTTATTTCATTGTGGTACAGTTTCCATTGTCATGGTAAGTACCCCCAAGCTGTGCAACGTATACCTATAACCACACTCAAATGGATGACAAACAAAATGGTGGTGACCTATTTATAACTCGCTTTCTTTTCTTTCCCGCTTTTCCTTTCAGTCTCAACCTAGCAGCAAGTGAGTGTGTTTCTTCCAGGACTTTCCCGGTTTTATTGGCAGGAAATTAGTTTTTGTTTTGTTTTGTTACAATTATTATAGACGATTTGCGGACACGTTGCGCTCTGGCCATCCTAATTATTTCCTTTTATTTTCCATTTAGGTTGCTTAGATGGCCGTCAAATGGGTAAAAACAGTGTAACTTATAGCTTTAGAGATCAGTTCGAGTCTAACAGACTAAAACGCATTTAAAATCGTTCGAACCGTTTTCCGAAGCAAAAAACATAAAAGTACCGGTCGCTCCGGTGCAAAAATAAGAGGTGAAAAAAATTATGTTCTTGTAATCGAAAAGTTTACGTTGATTTGTCTTACACCCAGTAAGAGAAATACGATTATTTGAAAATCATAAAATAAGTGTTTTCATGGTTGACTCGTTTGTCAAGCTGTAAAACACAATGAATGAAACACAAAACGAAACGTTTTACAAGCCGTGATGAAAAATGAAGTCTTAAAAGGCATGTAAAATGTTGCAAATGAAGCAAAATATATATATGGGTAACGTTTTACGCGCCTTAACCAGTCTAAAAAATAAAAAAAATTGGTTAATTTCGTATAACAGTTGAAATGTTATACGAAACTAAGCAATTGCCAGAAAAACCGATTTATCTTAAAGCGAGACGGCTATAAGAAGGTGATCTCTTTCTTATTCCTGTCTCGAATAGAAAGAGAAGGCAGATCGTGCCGAAAAGGAGTGAGATGGCTTTACTTTAAATGATTTCATGTACAACCACATCGTTGCAGCTAAAATAAATACATTTTTTAAAGAAATTTTGTGGTTTTAAATTTTTTGTAGCTTTTATGACATGACCGCCATTTTGTTGGCGCCAAAGTAACGGAAATTGAGAGGCTTTTTCGTGGATCGCCATTTTGCCTATTAGGGTGACCAGTACCGTCGAAGTTCGCGGTTGTAGTCTGAGGCCAAATGTTGTTGGAGTGGTGTGAATCCAGGCTAAGCTTATTTTTGGTATGTTTTTCAGTCTTATGAACGGTCACACTTCATTTCTCGAAATGAATGTTTCAAAATGCTCGTGTATTTAAATCGATTTTTAAGATTCAAAGTCAACGCCACCGCCGCCAGGCTGCCATGCAACTGAACTCGACGTCGAGTCGGCAACAATTAGTGATATGAGCTTGTGTTTTCACTGTGGCAAAAGTGCGTAAAAAGTCAACAAAAAGTCATAAGCTCTTCGAGTGTGTGTGTGTGTGTGTGCCAATACACACGTAACTAGTGTATGTGTGTGGACCAGCTCATATAAGCAATGCGCTAGTGTGTGTAATTGCCTTGAAAACAACATAATCTGCTTGTAAAGAAAAGAAATAAAGAAAAGGGAAAAAAACCCATTGTGTACATAATATGCATGCACACATGCACATTCAGTTAACAGAGTTCAGGTGCCCTGTTATTTTGGCTTTTCGCTGTTAAATCAGCAGTTCGCCACTGTTAAGTGGGCAGGGCAGTGTGGCCGTTTTGCCAAAATACCGCCGCCAGTATTACCGCGCGAGCCAGGGTCAAAAGGCTCTCCTATTGTCATTAGAAAATCTCACATATGTATTTTTCTTTCCCCCCAATAAAAACAGCATTAAAATCAGCAGTGAATTTTAAAAGTTAGTGTTAAGTGTGCAACTGGTGCGAAATTCTAAGTAAAACAAAACGGTCCACGCCATAGGAACAACAACAAAAACAACCGAAAAAAAAGGGCTGCGCAAAAACGTAAACAAAAGCAAGTAGAAAACGGAGCAAAGGAAAAGGCAATATCAGAAGTAAAACCAAAGGAAAGCCAGAGGAAAACAAAGCCACGAAAGCGGAGAACAAAGAGGGGAGCTGCAAACAGAACGGAAGTGGAGAGGGGAGGCAGTGCGACAGAGGACCAGGAAGAGAGAAGGAGCAGCAGCAACCGAAGCAGAAGCGCAAAACAGAATCCGTAAAATGGACTCGGACAATGACAACGATTTCTGCGATAATGTTGATTCGGGCAACGTTTCCTCGGGCGACGACGGAGATGACGACTTCGGCATGGATGTGGACCTCCCAAGTTCCGCGGAGCGCCAGCTGGACCAAGACGACTTCCAGTACAAGGTGCTCACCACCGACGAGATTGTGCAACACCAGCGGGAGATCATCGACGATCTCAATCTGGTGTTGAAGGTAAGGCGAACTGAATCGGAAGAAACAAAAGAGTACAGTGAGCACCCTTAGTGATGAAAACGAATTGACAAAAAAAGTCCACCTTCCCTACCACAAACCTCTATCAGTTCACGTAAATAAGAGTTGGGCCAACAGATTCTTTAGTAGTACAGTGAGACCTGCCGTAGTGAACACTGAAAAACCACAAACTAGCATCCGGTGCATGGCCTTGAAGTTAGGGTCCAATTTATTTATCTTTTCTTCTGTTATTCTTTAGAGTACAGTTAACGCCCGTTATCTTTGCTGCCATATCAAAGAGTTCATTTAAAATACAATTTAAAAATGAGTAATGTAGAAAACATGTCCAATTTTAATCCATTCTAATATCAAAATAACAAATTTGTACAAGTTTATCAAAAGCTATAAAAAATGTCATTGTTTCGGCTGCATAACATTAAAAATATTAATTATCTTCAATAGCAAAAATATTTATCTCCAAGTGAATTTTATTAAATATCTGAGGAAAGTGTAGTTAGCAGAGTGATTCCTATTCTGCACACAGTGCATTTGTGCATGTTTTTTCGCGCACCTCGCGCCCCCACCTGTCCGTCTCCGCCCACCGCTCTGCCTGGGATCTGGGATAAACTGAAGGTCGTCCGCTGATGGTTGCCAGTGCCAGTGAAATCGGAACACAAGCACCCAGGCGCACCCAAGGTCGCCAGATCCGCATCCCCCATCCACATCCGCATCTGCAGCTGACTTGACCAAAGTTGACTACAGGTCGCCTCTTTTCACTTTGCTAGAATTCGACGGATTTCCTTAAAAACCCCTAAATTCGGGGGAATCCCTTGGAATTTGTGCTTGTGGTAAAAAAAAACCTACAAAAGTGTGTCAATACATTTCGACTTTTAATAAATGTTAGTGATACGGCTTTAAAATTGCTTCACTAGATAGAGTTACATCTTTTTTTTTTAATGTAACAGCAAAATATTTTGTAATTTCTCTGGCGTTAAAACATTGTGAACGCAAAGAATTGGTTTCATTAGAAACCGAAACTTACTTATGTATCTTGGACCAAATGTATCTTGAGTGCTAAATTTTTTTTTTGCTCACTTTTATATTTTGTAGCTAATTGTTAGCTAAATAAAACACTTTTGAATACTTATTTGTTTTTTAAACAATTTTCACACTTATCGATTTTTAATATCATGCCTAAGCATTTATTGATGATAAGTAGCTTTTGGTACAAAATAATGAAAAATAAATATTTACTTTTTGTTGCAGTCCAAAATAAATTATCAATTGTCGATTTTGTCATATAACAATCTGTTGCATATTCTGATTTGTCGTACGGAACTGCAGGCGTCAAAATAATTTTTAAAATATTACAATTTGGTGGTGGCTCACCCTATTGCAGCTTCAACTGCTGATTGCTAATGATTTGGCATTGATTTCGAGGCCAACTTGGATGCAGCCACCTCTTCTCCCTTTTTTTGCCAGGCCCATATATTGGACATCATCCACTGACATTTGTTTTGTCTCGCTTTTTATGTCCACAGCTCCCCACACCCACTACGCGGATACTGCTGAATCACTTCAAGTGGGACAAGGAGAGGCTCTTAGAAAAGTACTTCGACAGCAACCCCGAGGAGTTCTTCAAATGCGCACACGTCATAAATCCTTTCAATAACGCCACCGAAGCGGTCAGACAAAAGGTGAACTAAGTGTTAAAGCTCCATTTTATGCCCCATCTAATGCATTTCCCTCAATTTCAGACCACACGAAGTCAGTGCGAAGAGTGCGAAATATGCTTTGTACTGCTCCCGGCAGATGTAAGTTGCCCTGAAGAAGAGAATTTTGCATGACCTAATTGTGGTTTAGAATCCATATTCCTACCCGCTAACCATTAACATTTCTGGGGAAATATGTTTCCCTGCCTGTTCAATAACGCCTTATCTACTAACGCTCGGGCGTTGCTTATCTGCATAAATCTAAAATATTTTAAATGACTTCATTTGTATTATATCAATTATTTTATTGCTGGACCTTATCAATATTTTTATTAGCTTGATTTATAATTTTTGATTGTTTCTATTTATTTAACTTCCCCTGCCAGAATCTGCTTATGTCTAGTGAAATTAAGCAGTACAGGGTTAAGAGCAACTATGTAGGATTTTAGATTGGATAATTGAATGGTCGACTATCTGGTTAAATTCAAATATATAAATTGTAAACTGCAATTCATAGCTACTTTTACTTTTGTCAGACTTTAAGATCTTAAAATTCGAATGCTTCATTCATTCAAGGAAATCAAATGAAAGTAAGCGTTTTGCATTTGATTTCCTTGAATGAATGAAGCATTCGAATTTTAAGATCTTATCATGGCTAAAAACAATCCTAAATAACAGTCAAATATTTATGGAAATCTTATGTGTTTTTCCCATTTAGACCATGACCGGGCTGGAGTGCGGACACCGATTCTGCATGACCTGTTGGCGCGAGTATCTGACAACGAAGATCTTGACGGAGGGTCTGGGCCAGTCAATTTCGTGCGCGGCGCACGGCTGTGATATCCTGGTGGACGACGTGACCGTCACCAAGCTGGTGCTGGACGCACGGGTGCGGGTCAAGTACCAGCAGCTGATCACCAATAGCTTTGTGGAGTGCAACCAGCTGCTGCGCTGGTGTCCGTCCGTCGACTGCACCTATGCGGTGAAGGTGCCGTATGCGGAGTCACGTCGCGTCCACTGCAAGTGCGGCCATGTCTTCTGCTTCGCCTGCGGCGAGAACTGGCACGATCCGGTCAAGTGTCGCTGGCTGAAGAAGTGGATCAAGAAGTGCGACGACGACTCAGAGACGTCCAACTGGATCGCGGCCAATACCAAAGAGTGTCCCAAGTGCAGCGTGACCATCGAGAAGGACGGCGGCTGCAACCACATGGTGTGCAAGAACCAGAACTGCAAGCACGAGTTCTGCTGGGTCTGTCTCGGTTCCTGGGAGCCGCACGGCTCGTCCTGGTACAACTGCAATCGCTACGACGAGGACGAGGCCAAGACCGCCCGCGATGCACAGGAAAAGCTGCGCTCCTCGCTGGCCAGGTGGGTTCATCAATTGTTCTATATTCCACTGTGTGAATTTCACAGTGTGAAGTCCTCGAACGGGTTTGATAGACTTTAGGCAAAGCAACTAATTCAATGCTCTTCTGATACTGTTGTTGGTTTGAAAACTCTTCAAGGGAAATCAAAATAAATAGATATCAAAATTTGTCCACTTTTAGAGTTTTACGATTTAATTACATTTGATTTAAAATATGGTCCCTTTTAAAAATTTGTTTTACATAATTATAATCTTTAGGCAAAAATGCATTTCTGTCCAAACTCTTTGAAATGAAAAGTTCACTTAAAATGTGGATTACATATGTAGCTCGTGTCTTAAATTTCTCCGAATGTGAATTATTTTTCATGCAGCTGACTGATAAGAATGCCCTTTAGTGCTAACTCATTATTGCGTTTATTTTATCTGATAATTGCTAATATGAATGATAACGATTGTAAAGCCGTAGAAAGGAATGAATCAGCTATAATTTGAAATTTAATTTGATCGCTAGTAAACAGGTGGAGTTATCTACGAAATAGGAAATAAATACGGAGCCAGAGACTTAACGAAAGGGCGGTAAAGATAAAGAGTTAATCATGAATGATAAATAAATGATTTTTTAAGTAGCAATGCTTCATTTTATGTTTTAAATGACTTCAAAATTTGCTTTACTATAAGTTTGTCCATAATTTAAATATGAACTTTATTTAATTGTTTGGCCTAATCGACAGATACCTCCACTACTATAATCGCTACATGAACCACATGCAGTCGATGAAGCTTGAGAACAAATTGTACTCATCTGTGAAGCAGAAAATGGAGGAGATGCAGCAGCACAACATGTCCTGGATTGAGGTGAGTCTTATAAATACATTACAAAATTCACAGATTAAGCAAACTCTTTGCAATTTTAGGTGCAATTTCTGAAAAAGGCTGTCGACATACTTTGCCAGTGCCGTCAGACTCTCATGTACACATACGTATTTGCGTATTACTTGAAAAAGAACAATCAATCCATGATATTCGAGGATAATCAAAAGGACTTGGAGTCGGCAACCGAGACGTTGTCCGAGTATTTGGAACGTGATATTACATCCGAGAATTTGGCTGATATTAAGCAGAAAGTGCAGGATAAATACAGGTGAGTGGGCAAACGGCATGCAAACGAATCAATGTGTAAACATTCTTCTTTCGATTAGGTATTGTGAAAAGCGGTGCTCTGTTCTACTGAAGCACGTGCACGAGGGCTACGATACGGACTGGTGGGAATACACAGAATGACGCGAGTCATGGCTGGATAACTAAGCTAAGCTGAGCGGCAGGCAGTCGGAGTGGAGTTCAATGCCCGCTAAACGCCTCCCCATCCAGCATCCAGAATGCACCAACCACTATCCCTCATCCACATAACCAACACCCACCCACACAGAAACCGAAGCCGAAGAAGTTGAACAGAAGTTAGGGATAAAGCAGAAGCTACATAGAAAGGCAAAACGAAAGAAACGCAAAACTCTTACAGAATGAACCCCAAACACAAGATGCAATGCGAAAAGAGAAACCATTTCAGAATAATTGTGAAAACAGAGAGAACTCTATATTAAATCGTAATATATAAATATATAATTATATATATTTTTCTTCGTAATGAGCAGCAGCATCAGGAGCCTATGCAGGACAGGATCAGATAGACACACACTCGGACACACCACACTCACACAACCAGTCACAAGGATCAGCAGCAGCAGCATATATATATAGTAAATAATCAACAGTTACAAACTTATTTGATGTTAACCGATTGCAAAGAGATCTTCATGTTATCAAAAACTAAAGAAAAACGATACAAAAAGCAAAAAAATTAGTGAATTCAAAGCTCCACGGATGAGAAACCAACAATAGAACCTAAACGTATGTGAAATAAACTACACATGTAAGCAGAAACACTTGCCCAGCTTCCTTTCCACCTGCCCAACTTCCTTCGACCTTTCAATGTCCCCTTTTAAATCCCGTTCAGGCTTCAAGTTAGCGTTATTGTTCTTTAGTTCCAATCTCAGTCCCAGTTCGAATTTAAATTTCGAATTTCTTCCAGTTCGTTAAGCCTTTTTAAATTGATTTGCTTTTTATTTTTCTGTTTTCTGTTCAATAAACAATTGTGCTTAGCATATATGGAACGGAAACTATTCCGGTTCGATCGGATACGCTATGTTTTCGTGGCGGGAGCAGAGCTACGCCCCCATTCTTAGTTCGTAATGGTCCCTCGAATATTGTAAATGTTAAATGGAGCCGGGTGGATCCCTAAGATCAGTGCTCCCAACCGCGATAACCCATGTGAACTTTGCTCCAACACAATTCGAAGAAGAACATACCGATTCCCGAAACACACACACACACAAGGAACTATATAGACGAGATATGTATAGTTAATGGGGAGGGACAGGGGATCTTTAATTGGATCCTTGGAGTGTCCTCCTCCAGCTGGCGGCAAATCGTTGTATATAAGAGAACAGTTTTTTCCATGGTTTCCTCGCCCGCCCACAGACACAAAATATAACACACGTGAAACACCCAAAACTCGACTTGCCACGCCCCCGCTACGAAGGCGTTGGATCCTTCTACCAAGTTTCCGTTTTCAGCATTCTCTATTATTCTTAACAATAAATACAGAAAAAAATATATTTATAAACAAAACTAAATGGAAAACTCATTGAAATTAAATTGATGTAAAAAGTTTAAAGTTGTTCGAATTGAAAGAAAATGAAAAAATACCATAATGTGGAATAAAAATATATATAAAAAAAGCTGTAAAAATTATGAGAAACTATGTATGTATAATTAAAGATGAAATGTTGCAAAAATTAGTGAAAATAAAAACTCAAAAAATCTTTCTAGCTGTATTATTGAAGACCATTTCCGCTTTTATCTCGGCTCTTGGACGCGATTTGTTTTAAATAATGTCCGTTCCCCAACCACCCACTCAAACAATTTGTAATTTTTTGTCGATTTTTTTTTGACATTTCCATGAAGAAACCCCTTTCCAAATTTTCGGAAATTGGAGCTGCAGAAAAGAGACCTAAATCTTGTACTTCTAAGCCCATAACTTTTCCATCTGAAGTACGATTCTAGAATGGTATGTCTTAAACAGCTCGTGGTAAAATTCCCTAAAAGTCTGCATTTACACATTTTTTTGTAATTTTGGGTCGATTTCTTTGACTTTTCAATGAAGTAACCCCTTTCCAAATTTTCGAAAATTGGAGCTGCAGAAAAGAGACCTAAATCTTGTACTTCTAAGCCCATGACTTTTCTATCTGAAGTCCGATTTTAGAATGGTATGTCTTAAATAGCTCGTGGTAAAATTCCCTAAAAGTCTGCATTTCCACATTTTTTTGTAATTTTGGGTCGATTTCTTTGACATTTCAATGAAGTAACCCCTTTCCAAATTTTCGAAAATTGGAGCTGCAGAAAAGAGACCTAAATCTTGTACTTCTAAGCCCATAACTTTTCTATCTGAGGTCCGATTTTAGAATGGTATGTCTTAAATAGCTCGTGGTAAAATTCCCTAAAAGTCTTCATTTCCACATTTTTTTGTAATTTTGGGTCGATTTCTTTGACATTTCAATGAAGTAACCCCTTTCCAAATTTTCGGAAATTGGAGCTGCAGAAAAGAGACCTAAATCTTGTACTTCTAAGCCCATGACTTTTCTATCTGAAGTCCGATTCTAGAATGGTATGTCTTAAACAGCTCGTGGTAAAATTCCCTAAAAGTCTGCATTTCCACATTTTTTTGTAATTTTGGGTCGATTTCTTTGACTTTTCAATGAAGTAACCCCTTTTCAAATTTTCGGAAATTGGAGCTGCAGAAAAGAGACCTAAATCTTGTACTTCTAAGCCCATGACTTTTCTATCTGAAGTCCGATTTTAGAATGGTATGTCTTAAATAGCTCGTGGTAAAATTCCCTAAAAGTCTGCATTTCCACATTTTTTTGTAATTTTGGGTCGATTTCTTTGACATTTCAATGAAGTAACCCCTTTCCAAATTTTCGAAAATTGGAGCTGCAGAAAAGAGACCTAAATCTTGTACTTCTAAGCCCATAACTTTTCTACCTGAAGTCCGATTCTAGAATGGTATATCTTAAATAGCTCGTGGTTAAGTTCCCATAAAATCTGCGTTCCCACTTTTTTTTTTGTAATTTTGGGTCGATTTCTTTGACATTTCAATGAAGTAACCCCTTTCCAAATTTTCGGAAATTGGAGTTGCAGAAAAGTGATCTAAAATATACACTTCTAAGCTCATAACTTTTCTATTTGAAGTCCGATTCTAAAATGGTATGTCTTAAATGAGCTTTGTTGAAAGAGATTTCAGTGTCGTTTTTGTTTAAATATTTGTGAATTTGTGAGTTTTTTTCCTTGGCAGGTGACAAACGTTGGTAATAATTGCATTAGGCTTCTAGGGCTTCTCGTGGGAGGTGAAATTGAGGTGGAACCCCCGATAACGACGATCCGGCTCCCGATTATTGGATGATGGCGGCTGCTGCTGCTTCTGCTGCTGTTGGTTAGTCTGTTGCTTCTATGGCCTCTTACAATAGCCGCTGTCACACGCACAAGAGTCTTAAGTCTAATCTTGTGCAGTGGCCAGCAGCTGCAATAAGTACCTTTCGGTTCGCGACGCAGTCGTTGAATCACTGGTGTTTATACTCTCGCATAGTTTTTAGAGGGACTCTAGTTCAACGGACATTGCCGAACCGAGTGCTGAATAAATGATGATGCCCCCGACATATGGTCGAAATTCCAGGCTGAAAACGGGGTCTTGGCACGTTTTTGAATAATATATTTAATGGGTCGTGCTGCTTCTCTGGTTATTGATTTTCAATTGGAAAATGGGTTTCGGTTTCAGTTTTGGTGGTAAACAATTAAATATCCTGGTCACTGAATCACGGTAAAAAAAAAAAAACGTTTAGATCTAGTATCCTGTAGTCACTTAAAAAAAATGTGAATGTTCGTTTTTAGTTGGATCCCTTGGGCTGGCTCTTCCGCTGGTCGTCGCTTAATTAACGCTATTTAACTGAGACATTGTTCGGTCCGTCTTGCACCTTTTATAGTGCCAGGTGGTCGGAACATCCCTCTTCTTTGGGCTCGCCTAAGTACTGCTACCCGTACGTGTTGGCCGAAGACTTACATGTGTGTGTAATATTATTAGGGGCGCATTAGTGTGTGTCCCAGTCGGCAAACGGCTGCCTACTTTTCAGCGCCACCCTGGTGGGTGGGAGGTGCGAGGTGGGTGGGTGTTGGCGCGTTTCGAATCCCAAAAAATCGACAGACATTGAGGCAGGTTTCACATATATGTACATACTTACAACCGGGGTGCTTGACCAGAAGCCAAAGTCCCGCTGGCGAAATATGATCCGAACGGAGATATGCAACTGCAATTGGAACTGCAACTGCAACTGCAACTGCCACAATCAGTGGTGGTGGCACCACCTATCCCCCCCTCCCTTCTCCCCTCGCTTCATCCCCCATTTCCAGTCGAAGGCGTTACAAAAATTAAATAACATTTTTCCCGGCGACGGCGGCTGAGGCACTTCTATGGCATCTGGGGGCCCCGGGCTCGGAATGCTTCGCTGGTCAGCGCCCGTACAAAAGTGTGCCTGTATTTAGTGGGGAATCTCAACAAGGTAATGGTAACGGTAACGGTAAATGTAACGGTAAAGGTAATGGTGGCTTAGCGCGTATCAAGTGACAGATTGTCTGCGGCAAGGAGGCCGGCGATCCAGTCGTCGATGTCGATGTCGATTCGCCACCGTTTGCCGTCTTGGGAAACCATAATTTCCGACAGCTTTTCACAACTGTCACTGCATTTACGTTTTCGCTACCCGCTGCGCGAAAATTATGATTTATATAGCCGGAATATTCCACCTAAATGTTGAGGGTGTCCATTTATTGATAGCGAAAATTTGGAAAATATATACGTTCAATTGCTGTAAGTAAAGCTTTGGAATGGGTTAATAATTGAAATTGATTTAACATAAAAAACATAAGCGTTCATTGGTAAATCACTTCAAAATCGTCTAGTTGTTAAATATTAAAACATACAATTTTAAACCATTTTTAAAATAATAGATAGATATAAATAATATAGAAATAAATATAATGTTTACGTTTACGCTAGTCCTTAACTATGAAACAAGGCTTAAATATTTGAAAATATATATTATTTAAAGTGGAAAATAAGAAAAGAAAAATAAAAGAGTAGGTAAGCTCAGAGCAATATTATCCGAAAATACAATAATTTGCTTTTTTCTTTAGATAAAAATAAGGGAAAGGCTAGAGAAATAACAAAACAGGACGGCTCTTAAGTTATACCTCAAAATGAAAGCGATAGAACGACAACAAAGTGTAACTGCTGTAACTTGTATGAATTCCTAATCAAATTGAACAGGTGCTGAAAACTAGTTCATTCTCTAGCCATCTAATAAATTTAAAATAAGCCATGGGTCAGAATACAAATATTTACAAAACTTCCAACCGATTTTGCCGTCAATGTTGTCAAACGAATTGCTAAACTTTTCAAGGTAGTTTAAGTAATTCTTCGAAGTGGATGGTTATTAGAGAATGGGATAAAAATATACATCTACTTAAATGGGCTATTAATTAACCATAAGCCAATGGGTGGAAATGCGAATTTCTGTGTACAGTTTTATAAAATTTAAAAGAAAATGGGCTTCTAATCAAGCTTATTCTACATGCATAGCCATTTAGCCGAAGGCCATCATTTGTTTTGGCTGCCTGTCAAAGTTGATTTGAATCAATACTCGTGAAATAACGTAATTAAATGGCCGCATACACTTCTATAAAAATTTCTGTGAGCGCGTCACACGTGTCCTTTGCAGAAAGAGAGGGGAATGGCTGTGGGAAAGAGAGGGGGACAGAGCCGCGACCTTCGCTGCTACGTCACATGCTTCAAGATAATCGAGAGCGGAAAGAAATGGCGGAAAAATCCTTGCGAAGGGAAAATGCAAATGGAAAGCAGGGCCGTGGGTCGTGGGCCGAGGGGAGTGGGTCTAAAAATAGAAGCCCCCGAAAATCTAGGACACTCCGCCCCTACACAGTGACGTTGCAGACGCCCCTTTTCCTGTTCCGGCACTGAGAGAAAATTTCACAGTTCAGGGATTTTTTAAATCAAATAAATCAGAAGGAAATTT